CATCACAGAGTGGACCTGTTATAGAGGTTCATCACATAGACTGAACCTCTGTTATAGAGATTCATCACATAGAGTGAACCTCTATTCTAGAGGTTCATCACAGAGTGGACCTGTTATAGAGGTTCATCACATAGAGTAAACCTCTGTTCTCTAGATTCATCACATAGAGTGAACTTCATTTATAGAGGTTGATCACATAGAGTGAACCTCTGCTATAGAGATTCACTCTATGAGGACCAGCAGGAGGTTCTGCTGCAATAGAAGCTCAGGAACCAGAACCAGCAGATAACCGGACCTCCAGCATGGTTCTGGTTCCATATAGATTCTGGATTTATGATCAGTCTGCTGGTTCTGGTTCTGCTGAGCCCAGATAAGAACCTTCTGGGGTTCTGGACTGCCTTCACACAGAACCTGGTCTGGGTTCTTCCGGACCTCCTCTCCACTCACACGCTGACCCAGTCCCAGCCGGTTCTAGCAGAACCTCTGGGTTTCAGCCCCCACCCTCCCTAATGTTCAGTTCTATAGAAGCAGACTGGATGTGAGACCGTGAGGAGCGGTCTCAGTTCCGGTCCGGTCCGGTCCCCCTGGACTCCTGCGCCCCAGGAGCAGGACGGCGCATTGCGTCATGGAGCTCCAGGTTCTGATCCAAACGGAACGTTCTGGAGAGAATCAGCTCCAGACCCGAACTTGTGGAGTTCGGAAAAGTTCGGAGAGTTTCGGCAGAAAGTTTTTCCAGAGCGGATCCCTGCCTGCAAACAAAGTTCTGGCAGCACTTACTTTGCTCCGGACCTCCGCAGACAGGCCGTAGGCTGGTCCCTTGTTGAAGTGGCTCATCTTCTGCTGCTGCTCCCGGATCCAGAGGGAAGCTCGCTCCGCCAGCGCACAGGGAACAAAGCAGAGCGCAGAGCTGGCAGACAGCACGTCAGGAAAACGCGCTGACGTCACGCTGCAGCCAGGCGCCCAGCCTCGCCGCTGCTGTCCTCTCCTGGCTGCAGACATTGTTGGACCCAGTTCCTCCTGCAGACTGAACCCAGTGGAACCAGTGAGCTTTGAGTTCTGCTGGATGTTCCAGAACTTTCAGTAGAACCGCCTCATTTATGACCATGAAGGACTGGGACACACCTGTAGAATACCAGGCTGGCAAACAGGGACACACCTGTAGAATACCAGGCTGGCAACCAGGGATACACCTGTAGAATACCAGGCTGGCAACCAGGGATACACCTGTAGAATACCAGGCTGGCAACCAGGGATACACCTGTAGAATACCAGGCTGGCAACCAGACTGCTGACTGGGACACACCTGTAGAATACCAGGCTGGCAACCAGGGATACACCTGTAGAATACCAGGCTGGCAACCAGGGATACACCTGTAGAATACCAGGCTGGCAACCAGGGAT